CTGAAGATGAAGTCACAAAGTCCTGAAGTGAAATGATAAGAAACATGATGTTAGAGCAGTGCTCATACAATCCCCCCAGGGGACCTTGGGAAATGTCTCTAGACATTTTTTTGTTGTCACAACAAAGAAGGGTGGTTTGCTACTAGCACCTAATGGGCAGCGATTAAGGATGCTGCCGAACAGCCGGCAGTGCACAAGATAAGGCCGCACAACAAAGAATGATCGGGTCCAAATTGTCAGCAACACCAAGGTTTTAGAGGAATCTCATATGAGCATGTCATTTGACCATATTTGAAGATATAAAGTGCACACTGGATTTATCAAGGAGCCCAACATTAACCTCTGTAGCAATTTAGCTTTAAAAAATACTATAGAGACACGACTGGTCATGATGTTCCCCTCCTAGAATTTCATCCACATATGAGCTAATTTATGAAGGCATTTCCGTGGAAACAGCTCCAAGCCAGCCCTCCCCGTCAAACACGGGCATACATTTGGAGGAAAAGACCCTAACCATTGGCTACAGGTGACAGCCATTCCTGCTAGAACCTTCGCAAGCTGGGACTAGCAAGGACCCAGGGGTTAGTGCATGATCACCACACTTCTGATTCCCACTGGCCAAGCTTTCTTTCAGCAAGATCTCTTAACGGCTTCTACCTTCTATTTCTAGCTGTACGTTGGTGATTGCAAAAATGTCAACAAAACAGGTTTTTCAGTTAGACAAGCACTGATTTGTATCTCTTTAATGGTCAGTATTATTATCATTTTTTTTTTTAGCATCAGAAAATAGTCTCTTGGTCTAAGCTGCTTGAGTGGACTGATCCAACTATAATTACGAGCAAAATCCTGAAGCACTGCTAACGGGAGTGAAATACACAGAAACTGGTGGCTGACCTGACTTTGCCATGGAACCTGAGGATTTTGATTCTGAGGACAAAGAGATATTAAGCTGGGATATCAATGATGTAAAACTGCCGCAGGTATGTACTGGCTGTAAGAATCTGCCTTCAATACAGGGTGGGGTGGGGCAAAAGTAGGATTACGGTTGCTTGTATGGAAAATTATACAGTAATTGATAAGTAGTAATACAAGAATAAAGTCTGTGTTTCATGCCCTCACAACTGCAAACCTACATTTGCCGCACCCGGCATTTGGCTATGGGGCCTTGACTATTAGGTTGCTAAGACTTGGAAGGAAATCGGTGGAGGTTCCTACTGGGTCAACTCCTGTCCTCCGGAGCTTCAGCTGGACACCAGGGTCAGGAATTTTAAAATATATTTTATTGCTTTTGGGGGGTTTTTTACAGAGAGGAAGGGAGAGGGATAGTTAGAAACATCGATTAGAGAGAAACATCGATCAGCTGCCTCCTGCACACCCCCTACTGGGGATGTGCCCACAACCAAGGTACATGCCCTTGACTGGAATCGAACCTGGGACCCTTCAGTCCGCAGGGCGACGCTCTGTCCACTGAGCCAAACCGGTCAGGGCTGGGTCAGGAATTTTAAAAGGAGATGCCCAAACCTATGATTTGAGTGGGTCTTTACTTACCAATCCCCCAACCCACTCTTTTCTCGCCGCTCCCCCACCCCCACCCCCATAGACTGAAGCAAAGAAAATGCTACTCCCCTTCTCATTCAATAGTGGCTCAGGTTGCACCCTCCCTGGCTACCTAGAGGCATAAAATCCATGCAAGGTATTTGCCCATAAGTAGACTCTTCATAATGCACACGTCCCCCCACAGCCTCATTTGCTATAGTGATGGTTTGAAACAAAATCTGTAACTGGAATGTCCAAATGGGAGTGCCCATGTGGGGGCAGCATGCTCTTCTAGGACTTTTGTAAATAATACACACACGGTGCTGCTTTCCAGCCATAGAATGACTTCGATTGTATGTTTCTTTGGCCTTCATCTTAACTCTTAATTTGGTGGAAAGCATTGATTAAAACGGGCTCCCCCACCTCCCTCTCTGCTAGTTGAAGGGTGCTTCACTGCGAGTCATTTGGAAAGGTGACTAGGAAAGCTAAGACGGAGACCAGCACTGCCAAGTACTGAAAAGGTCGAGCTGGTCTACCTGATTCTGGGGAACAAGAAACTTGAATTATCCAAGCAGCGGAGAGGGAAGGGAGATTCCACAGTCCTGATTCCTAGCCATTCCAGATTTTCACTCTAGTGAAGACTTCCAGATCTTTTCACATTTTACACTAATTTTCTGTTGTTTCTCTTTATGTTTAAATATTTTTTAAAGATTTCTTTTGTTTCTCTTTAAATTCCTCCCTACATTCTCTCTTGGTAGATCTTGGAAAAGTGGAGGATAGGAAGTGTGCCCTACTTTTCATTCATTTAAGAATGATTAAATAATCCACAGCTAAGTCATAATATCTATTTTAGGGATTTGTCTTTGTAGTAGTCACCATTGGTTTATGATTATTGCAGCTGCAGCTGTGTTAGGGAAAACTTTAAGATACATTTTAGTTACTCCTGGCTCAAGGACCTGTATTTCTGCCTATTCCTAATTTCATGATTACAACTCCCCAATGTAAGCCAGGCATCCTCCAAATCAAGAGCCGAAGTACGCAGGACCATAGCTGATTCTGCAGTGTCACATCCCAGAGCAGGAGCTTTTGCGGGGTCTGAGAATCCCTGAAATGACAGGCCGCACTGCATACTGACATCCATTGTTTTCTGGAAGAGGATCCATATCACCCCTCAGATCAGACAAAAGAAAGAACCACCTCCCTGGAGGAAGTCTCAGGGCTCATTAAAGTACATGTCCCAACACGAATTCTCAGCATAAAAGCATTCTCCGCTACCTAAGACATTGAACTGAAAAATTTACCACAAAAATACACATTCAATTTTGGAAATGTACCATTTACAGTTCATAGAAAAAGTATGATTCCTCGTGGAAATAGCTTCAATTTGTTAAACATGCCACAGAAAGAATTAAGAGTATAAAGATCCCTTAACGGTGTCTAAGCAGAGACAACAGCATCCCCAGCTGGGTGTTTGCTGGCTCTGGAACTGTATCAAGAACCAGGTGAGATGAAAATAAAAGGCCTTGGAAGGATTTCCAGGCATACCGGGTTTATGTTTTGTGAGCAAATCTGGAGGCTGAATGGTGACTGAGAAGCAGGAGACAAAGCCCTCGCATTGAATGCCAGTTCTGCTCTTTTTATTTGTAGAGCCTTGGGGCGGTGTTTACCTTTTCCCAGGCTCCCTTTCTTCTGAAAAGGAGGGGGTTGCACTAAATGGTCTCTTATGTACCCTTTTAGTTCTAATAGTCTAGATGGCATGACCTGAGATTTGGGAGGTGGCCTGCCATTCTAGCCGGCCCAGGCCTACCATGAGGCCTGGTACATATTAATCAACAAGTGACAAACATGGAATTTATTAATGGATGACTTCATTGTTTTTATTCTGTGTGACTCTAAACAAGTCGATTTCCTGAAGTCTTAGTTACCTCCTGGGTAAAATGAAGACAGCAATTCCTATATACCCTGCTTAAAGCTCTAAGCTGTTCAGAGCAGTGTTTCCCAAAGTGTGTTCAGTAGAGTATAAGTTACAAGGGATTTGTTGTTGTTAATCCCCACCCAAGGATAGTTTTCCATTGATTTTTAGAGAATGGAAAGGACAGGAGAGTGGGGGGCGGGGTGGGGGGGAAGAGAGAGAGAAAGAAACATCAGTGTGAGAGAGACGCATCAATTAATTGCCTTCCCACACTTCTGACCGAGGCACATGCCCTTGACCGAAATCGAACCTGGGTCGTCCACAGGCCAACGTTCTATCCACTGAGCCAAACCAGCCAGGGCAACTTGCAAAGAATTTTAATGGGTGTTGTGAAGAAAGAAAAAGAGAAATACTAGGTTCAGCGAAGTTAAAGATTTCTTTACAGCAGGCTCGGAGCCTTTCTAACTACCCTGTGCATGGGTGGCTCTCACAGGAGGAAGCCCTGTTAGGCAGTGTTGCCCTCACCTATTTTTTTAAATATATTTTTATTGATTTTAGAGAGGGAGAGAGAGAGAGAAACATCACTGATGAGAGGGAATCATTGGCTGCCTTTGTACGCCCCCTTCTGGGGATTGGGCCCACAACCCGAGCATGTGCACTTGACCAGAATCAAACCCAGGGCACTTCAGTCCACAGGCCAATGCTCTGTCCACTGAGCTAAACGGCTAGGGCACCTTCACCTATTTTTGACCATGGAGCCCCTTTTTCATGGAGTTTCTCAGGTGGTTACTCTTCCTCAGACCACCTGTTTAGAAGTTTTTTTAAAAAAGTTATTTAAAGGATCAAATGCAATGGTTTGTTATTATTAATTTCCCCACTTTCATTCTCTGTACCACCCATACAAAGAATTTCTACTTTATTTTTCATGATATTATATTCTTACCAGAGTTGTACTTCTGCAACCCATGGGCAAATTCCTGCAACTTGTAAAACAAATTCCTTTCCTGTTAATCCACTCACGTGCTTCAAGTTTCACAGTGGTCACCTGAGTGAATCCTGACTGTATCAGGTCCTGGAAACTCTGTATCACTTTATGTATCTCAGATTTATGGGCTCACTTTTTTTTTTAATATTTTTTATTAATTTTTTTTTTTTTTTTTACAGAGAGGAAGGGAGAGGGATAGAGAGTTAGAAACATTGATGAGAGAGAAACATTGGATCAGCTGCCTCCTGCACACCCCCCACTGGGGATGTGCCCGCAACCAAGGTACATGCCCATGACCAGAATCGAACCTGGGACCCTTCAGTCCGCAGGCCAACACTCTATCCACCAAGCCAAACCGGTTAGGGCTATGGGCTCACTTTTGACAACTGTTACCAGGACATCAGACATTTTTTGAGTGACTATAATGTGCCAGACACTGTAGCAGGCTCAGGGCCACAGGGGTCATTGACCTGAACTAAGGGAACAAGATTAGTGCCCAAATAGAGAATCAAAGCCATGTTGAAAAATGCTTGCAGTGCTTAAAGGAAAGTATGTAA